GTGTGTGTGTGTGTGTGTGTGTGTGTGTGTGTGTGTGTGTGTCACCTATCAGCTCCTTGTTGCGGCCATCAAGTGCCATATTTCGGAGCGCAGTGGCAACAGAGCAGACAACCCGGTCATTGTCCATCCTTAGCAGCTCCACCAAGATTGGTAAACCTTTCTCCTTCCGCACAGCTGCTCGGATGTAGGCTGAGAACTGACAAAAACAACTTTAATTTCTCAAACATCTGAAGGACTATTTCACCCAAATTGATTGAAAAAAACAGCAAAATACAGATAACGGGTTTTATGAAAAAGTAGTCAAAGGCCAAAGAAAAACTTAAAATAAGTTCAAAAGATCGTAAATAAAAATATTGGGTTTTTTTATATTTTAAAATGAGGCTTGACTTTAGATATTTGTAAAGTTCTATACATGCAGATGGCTTTGCAAATTAATCTGAAATGTTTCTTGCTTTTATCAGATCAGTTTTAAAACTGTGGGTAAACAAACTTTGGAAAAACAAGACAATTTCATATTCCTGTAAAAAAATGTACAACTTATTTTCGGGAGACCAAATGACCCTGATCTAAAGATTTCAATGAGACGAGGTAGGTCTCCTACCTTCCAGTTCCCAGCAGACAGGTTCTGCAGGGAGCCGGCGGCCCCCTCCAGCGTAGCGGGGTTGGAGCTTTCAGCCAGCAGGTTGAGGTACGGCTTTACCACCATCGGGTGCCACAGAAGCTCCGCCCCTCTCAGAGACTGAGAGAAACCTGGGACTGATCCAACACCGTCCCACTGCAACAAACACAAAGTAAGATGTTGTTAGACTCTGTAGTATGTGACAGTAACTAACTGCTCACAAATCTTTGTTTAAACCTTTACATTCAAGGTGTTAAAAGAGAGCGCAAGAAAAATGACCTCAAACAAACCAAAAATGTAACCAGTAATTTCACTAAAAGCATTTTTCTCTGCATCCTTAACTTCCAGACTGAACTCCAGCAGCCCGTTTCCTCCTCTGTACCTTGCCTTCAGGCCAGCCGCTCCTCTTCCTCCCCCGCCTCCTCTTTCCCCAGCAGAGGTAGTCCAGCTCTTTGGCCGGAGAGGAAAAACCCAGCAAGGTGTCCAGCTCCTGGTTGCCAAGCAGACGGGAGGAGGGCATTTCCACCTCCAGCCTGTACGAGAGATTCCTCAGGGTGCAGACGCTGTTCTCCACAATCTGAGAAAGATTCAAGTCATTCAGCTACATTAAAAAAAAGAAAAAGTTTGAACTCTAAATTATCCAAATTGCTCCTCGAGTTATTCAAATGTATCATCATAATTTAATTTCCATTTTCTTTGTTGGGGAGTTTTCTAAATGCAAATCACTTCTTTGAATGAATTAATCCATGGTGAGGGTAATTCAAACAACCTAACTAGCCTATTATTATTAAATTCAGCACAAAATGTACCAAAATATATACATGTATATATATATTTTTTTCCTTCTCATACCACATGACGATGATGATGATTATGACGATGAAAGCCTTTATTGTCATTGTTTGCACAATGAAATTACATTTAAAAACACCCATTCAAGAAGACACACATGACAAAAACAGGCCCTATATACATAATACTCAACCTAAATTTGACTTAATAACAACCATGTCCGAGTGGGCCATGTTCCGTGCCTCCATTGTCGATGCGGTTTACCTGAGCTATGGCTGTAAGGTTGTCGGTGCTTGTCGTGGAAGCAACCCTCGAACCCGCTGGTGGACACTGGGGGTGAGGGATGCTGTCAGGCTGAAGAAGGAGTCCTATTAGGTCTTTTTGGTCTGTGGGACCCCAGAAGTAGCTGATAGGTATTGGCTGTCCAAGCGGGTTGCAGCTCGGGTAGTCTCTGAGGCAAAAACTTGGGCGTGGGAGGAGTTCCATGGAAAAAGACTTCCATACGGCTTTGAGGCGATTCTGGTCCACCATCCGGCGTCTCAGTGGGGAAAGCGATTCGCCACCAACACTATTTATGGTGGGGATGGTGCACTGCTGACCTCAACTCGGGACGTTGTGGGTCGGTGGGTGGAATACTTCAAAGACCTCCTCAATCCTACCGACATGTCTTCCCATGAGGAAGCAGAGCCTGAGGACCCTGGGTTGGACACTCCAATTTCCAGTGCCGAGGTCACTGAGGTGGTTAAAAAGCTCCTCGGAGGCAAGGTGCAGGGGGTGTATAAGATTCGCCCGGAGTTCCTTAAGGCTCTGGATGTTGTGGGGTTTCATTGGCTGGCGCGACTCTACAGTATCGCGTGGATATCAGGGGCAGTTCCTCTGGATTGGCAGACCGGGGTGGTGGTCCCCCTATTTAAAAAGGGGGACCGCAGAGTGTGTTCCAACTATAGTGGGGTCACACTTCTGAGCCTCCCTGGTAAAGACTATTCAGGGGTTCTGGAGAGGAGGGTCCATTGGATGGTCAAATGTCGGATTCAGGAAGAGCAGTGTGGTTTTCGTCCTGGTGGTGGAACAGGATCCTGGAGGGTGCATGGGAGTTAACCCAACCAGTCTACATGTGTTTTGTGGACTTGGAGAAGGCGTTCAACCGTGTCCCTCTGGGACTCCTGTGGGGGGTACTCCGGGAGTATGGGGTACCAGGCCCATTGATACAGGCTGTTAGATCCCTGTAGGACCGGTGCCAGAGCTTGGTCCACATTGCCGGTAGTAAGTTGGACTCGTTTCCGGTGAGAGTTGAACTCCGCCAACGTTGCCCTTTGTCACCGATTCTGTTCATAACTTTTATGGACAGAATTTCTAGGTGCAGCCGAGGTGTTGAGGGGATCCATTTTGGTGACCTTAGAATCACAACTCTGCTTTTTGCGGATGATGTGGTCCTATTGGCTTCATCAGATCGTGATCTCCAGCTCTCACTGGAGCGGTTCACAGCCGAGTGTGAAGTGGCTGAAATGAGTTTCCTCCGAAGGGTGTCTGGGCTCTCCCTTAGAGATAAAGTGAGAAGCTCAGTCATCCAGGAGGGACTCAGAGTAGAGCCGCTGCTCCTCCACGTCCAGAGGAGCCAGTTGAGGTGGTTCATCTGGTTAGGATGCCTCCTGGACGCCTCCCTGGTGAGGTGTTCCGGGCATGTCCCACTGGGAGGAAGCCCAGAGGAAGACCCAGGACATGCTGGAGGGACTATGTTTCTCAGATGGCTTGGGAACACCTTGGGATTCCCCTGGATGAACTGGCCCAAGTGGCTGGGGAGAGGGAAGTCTGGGTCTCTTTGCTTAGGCTGCTGCCCCTGCGACCCGATCCCTAATAAGCGGCAGAAAATGGACGGATGGAACAACCATGTCTCTATGCGTGTGTGTGTCTATCCAAAATCTCTACATCAAATACATACACCTCAGTCATTTTACAGATCTTGAGCCAACATGTGATGTGGTAGCTGCTGAGACGTTCACAGCATGTACTCTGTTAACAGATGAAGCCTGTCGTTACAAAAATTTGACCATACATGGCCTTGAGCTGTGGACTAAATTCTCCCCCCCCCCCCCCCCCCCCACTTAAAAAACAGGTCTGTGATCCGGTTCCTGGAGCAAGCTGAAGGCCGCACAGAATGAACAGTTAACATCCATATTCTGAACTATGGCTGCGCTGGTTTTGGGAACTGGATTCTTTGGGCTCATTCTTCAGATATTCACACAAGCACACAACACTCATGGCTTCAGATACACACCTCCCTAAACTCAACTTACTTCTCTGGCCAATAAATCTGCTCTATGCAGAGGTTTTTTAATAAACACCATAGTGTGTCACGTTGTTGTTGTACATGATGTTTTTGTTTTTTTCCTCATCTTCCCTTGAGTGGTTTTTAGTTTTTCTGTTAAGGGTTGCACCTCCTTATGATGTCTTCATGAAGATGATCCTTGCTCTGTGCAGGGTCAGTTACAGCATGAACCAGGGCACCTGTTCTCCTATGTTTGTTATGTTCTGTCTTCTTCTGAATGGGTGTTCTGAACTGTAATTTAATTGTACTCTGTACAATGACAATAAAGGTCTATCTTATCTTATAACAGTTACAACTCTGTCATTTCTCAGCGTAAATTGATCACAAACTCGGACATTAAGGGTAGCGGGCAAGATGCAGTCCTTTAAGGGATGCTAGGCCTTTAATTTGTACCCGGGCTATTCATCTAGTGCAGGGGTGCCCAAACATTTTCCCCGAGGGGGTCAAAATGAAAATCTATCCATGGCTGTGGGCCAAATACATTTATATAATACATGAAATACAAATACTTTTTAAAGTAAAGTCCTTTATTTTTAACAATTAAGTTGTGCAATGGGCCTCTTTTGTTTTAGTCTGTGCACTTGGAGAAAGTCTGCTATACGCTCAAGTAGCAAAGGCTCATGGGACATACCATAAATTGATAAAATATGAGTTTTTGTGGCCTTATAAAGTGTGCAAATCTACATGTGGGGTTAAACCTGATCTAAATATTTCTTGTTGTCGTTTCATGTTTAATCCTAATAAATCAAAGATATGTCAGCACTATGACTGAAAACTACCTTCACTACAGCCCTTTTATATAGTCATTTGACCAATGGAAATACTGTGTTTCTACCTATAGGATAACAGGTTACAACCTTGTAACTTTGGCTACTGTTGGTGGGCCAAATCAAATGGCTTGGCGGGCCAAATTTGGTCCGTGGGCCCCACTTTGGGCTCCTCTGATCTAGAGTGTGTGACTTCAGCCTGACCTGCCGATAAATTCTCTAAAATGTTTTTAATTTCTAATCTTTGCTACAGTACCAGTTAAACGTTTGGATACATCCTCTCATTCCAAATCCATATTACTTCCCTCTTTTCCTTACATTACAAAATAATACAAAAGTCATCCAGATGATGAAGCAGCACATAACGAACATTGTAGGAAACCAAAAAGCACAAAACTAAATATTCTCCAGATTTTAGACCTCTCAAAGCAGACACCCCCTAGCTCTGACCACAGCCTTTCACACGCTCTTGGTATTCTTTGGAACTCCTTCAAGACAGTTGGAAAATTATTCCAGGAGATTTACAGAAGCCCATGAAGCTGACAGAGTGTACAACGCCTCCAAGTTCACTACATGGCTCTTGTGTTCATTAGTCTGGTGGACCCCAGTGCAAACCCATGCTGGGAAAATGGAAAATGATTGAGAAAGTGAGTCCGAACGTTAGACTAGCAGTGTATACTAAGCACAAATTTCCTCACTGAGCTCAATCAGAAATGGAAGGAAATAATATTTAAGAATTAAGACTTTCCTCCTGATAAAAGAACAACAAAAGCTCAGCCTCTAAAACCTGAATGAAATCAAAACTTTGTAGAATAATTATTAGTCAGCGGCTCAAACGTCAAACACAAAGCTTATTATTTAGAAACAGACACAAGTCAGACCCTCCTCGTTTTGTTTTTGGTCCAAATTGTGCTGACAGCGGCCGTGGTGTGACTCTGTGCGGCACCTTGCTGTCGTAGTCGGAGGTGTTGACGCAGGCTCGGAGGATGTGCAGCAGCGAGTCGATCAGACCCTCACAGCAGCGCAGCTGACTCCTCGCCTCCTCCCCCGCCGAGCTCAGGTTCCTCAAACACACAAACACACACACACTCAGTCCGAGAGATGCAGTGAGCGGATTCCCCCACAGGGTGGCTCAAAAACCTGCCCGGATACAGTGAAAAAGGAGGAAGCTCATCCTCCAATAGAAGCAGAGAATTCCCATAATGCATTTCTATACCATCGGCCTGCAGCTTTCACATCAGTGTGAGTGAAAGGAAAAGCTCCAGGCTTTTGTGCATCTAATGTTGATGCTGATTCCCCCCCACCTCCTCTTTAGGAAGAGCTTCTTCTCACTGCCTAATCCTCCTCTTTGTGTACGACAAAATAAATTCATTTTATCTGTTCAATAAGCTGCTTTCCCACCATCAACTCCAGGTAATTAATAAAATCATAACTTAAGTCTTTTAATCAGAGACATTCAGTTTCTTCAACATTTTACTGCTGCAGTAAATCATCCTGCAGACCCTTAACTGATGTATGACTCTGAGCTGCGGTTTTATAAAGACATTAGGATGAAAAGCAAACAGGGGAAAAAAGGATGGATGGATGAGAAAAATCTAGATGTCATGTGTTTGTTTCAGAATAAGAATTGATTTATTGAGCAAACACCAGGTCTGGAAACTCAGGGAGGCTTAAGAGGCTAAATTAAAACAGGTTTTTATACTCTCTCAGGACAATTTGAAATCACATTAACTGTGTTCACATGATGGAAGTGATTACCAGCTTTAATACAACAAACATCTTTAATGGAAGCTGTAACTTTCTTCTTATTAAGATAATTACCCCAAAATCATCACTAACAGCATCATCAAAATAAATTGATGCTTCAGTTCTATGTTTAGTTTGGTCTGGTTTGACAGAAAGTGCTCCTAATAAATCCAGTTATAGGAGGGTTTGTTGTTATTTGGAGAAGCTGCGGTGCAGTGGTAGGGCAACAAACTCAGGAGCAGAAAGTCACCAGTTTGATTCCCCACCATGTCCACATGTTGTGGTATTTTTCTCTAACTATTGCAGACCTCTGACCTAAGAGGTCTGCAATCTTTACAATCAAAAGAGCCATTTCTGCTGCTTGGCTCACTACTAAAACATGTCCAGAGCCACAAAACAAACTACAACTCTGATTATCAACTGGTGGTCCATGGGCCTTTTTTAGGCCTTTTCTAGAGCCTTTATGGCCAGTGGAGGTGACATTTTAAAACTAAAAAATATGTTGTGAATTTTATTATGTATTGCTATTTTTGGACATCAGGACAAATGAAAAGACCATATTCATGTAAACAAGAAAATACTGTATATAGTATACACCGAATTTTAGAAAAACTACTACAACTGAACTATTTAGGCATATTGTTTTCTAATTCATATTATTATGTAGTCTTCAAATTCTTTAAAGGTAATTCTGATGGATTTGAGAGAAAGATCATAGAAAGAAGTTGGATTATTTAAGTAAACAACAGGCTAGCATGAGCTAACATGTTTTACTTTTTTTATTAGTAGTATTGATCACATATCTGCATACAAATTGATTTGTGATTTGAGTATAAAAAAAACAAAAAAACAAAAAAGATTTGTTGTGTTTGGTCACATTTTCAAAGAGCCACTGCAGATGGACCAAAAAGCCACATGTGGCCCCAGAGCTGCAGGTTGCAGACCCCCGATGTTTCTCACATGTGATGGGTCAAACTGAGCATAAATCTCATCGCTGTATGTCAACATGCATTGAGGACAATGCATAATTAAATGTACAAATTTTAAGGAGCACTATAAACTTGGCAAAAGATGGATATTTACGAGGAATTAATAAAAATGTCAGGAAAACTCCCTGCTTTATAACAGCAAATTATTAAATGCAATATTTAATAGCCTGCAGTAGAGAAGCTGACGGCTATGGCTAATATTAATAAAAAAAAGAATACTACTCTCAGTGTTTGGTAGTGAACGATACACCTAATACTCATTTTAAAGTTGCTAAAACATGTCCTGATGCACCTCAGTAATCCAGGTAGAAAAATAAACAAGACAGAACTCGACGCCAATCGTTGCTGATGTCCCCTGTTGCCATTCAGTAGTGACCACCTGTTAACAGTTTTGCTGGAATCATCACAGGCCTTCATTTTTTAAATTATCTCATAAGATGAACCGACTAACAGGCCGACGGACAGACGGGGGGGGGCTAAAGTGATCTTGAAACTACTACACAAACATGGATGACTCGTACCAAGTTTAGTGTGTTTTAGCCTTTTTATGTGAAAGTTACAGCTTTTAGAATTGGTAACAGACGGATCGACTGATGGAGAGCATTAAATCCCCTGCCTCGGCGACAGGGGACAAAAAAAATGTAGTAGTCCTCTGGACGGTTTCTTCTTTAACGGTTCGTTTCTTCTTCAGTCTGAGGAGTTTCAGGTGAACTCAGCCAGGTGGAGGCAGGGCTTATAAGGCTGAGTTCACCTGAAACTCCTCAGACTGAAGAAGTCTCTTGGATGAGAGATGAAACGTTTCACCAAAGAAGAACCCATCCAGAAGACCTAATAATCTTTATTTAATATTTAAGCCATGTTAATTTAACAAAGATTTTGTAATGGAGTAATGATAAAGTTAATTGTCTTGTCTTCTACCATTAGTCTTGCACTCTGTCAATGTTGTTGTTAAAGTTATTGATTGTATTGTGAGACTAAGTAAAAAAATACTGTCTTTGAATTTAGTACATAAGATATTGGTCAAATAGTAATAAAGACACTTTAATGCTGCTGCATTTTAGCCTTTAAAGGAGGCATGTCGTGCTTTTAGATCCTTCTTTTTCACATTTAAACCTATCTGTTGTGGTTTATATAAAGTGGAACTGCAATGCTTTGGTCTGAATTCTGAACTCTCATTATTGTAGCTCCACAAGCCTCTCTGTCACTCAGCTGGTCTGAGAGCAACTTGTTTTGGTGTGGTCTCAAACACAAAATACAGATATCTATTCAGCACTGACTAAATTCAACTTTTCTGAACTCCTAGAGACTGCACGTACACAACAAAATGTATTTAACTGCTAAAAAAAAGTGGATTTTGAATGACTTGTCTCCTTAAATAACCATTTCTAAAATACTACAAGAAAACACCTTTAATACAAAGAATATTTAATGCAGTCAGCAACTACATGAGGATATCTGTCAGAATATAATGTTTTAAAAGATTTCTTTTGAATCAAGGATTACTGAAATAGATCGTTGATTGTTTTAACTCTGTTCTGGGATTTTTTGTTTTTAGCCTTATGATGGCTCAGTGGTTAGCACCGACGCCCCACAGCAAGAAGGTCCTGGGTTTGATCCCCGATTCAGACCTGGGGTCTTTCTGTACGGAGTTTGCATGTTCTCCTCGTGCTTGCGTGGATTTTATCCGGGTACTCCGGTTTCCCCCACAGACCAACAACATGTACACTAGGTTGCCTTCAGACCCAGTTTGCCCTTGCAAAAAAAAAATCTGTGATGTCAATGGGATTTGCCTGCTTAAATAAAAGGTCAATAAATAATGA